AACTAATAATTAGCTGGCTTTTCTATCCTAATGTATAGTTGAATTAAGGTAAATTTTGAGAAACATTTATGTATGAATTCGATTATTGTAATATACAATTCTAATGAATATTTAATTTCGTATGTATAAATAATGGTGAATCGTATTCTATACCCTTATTGTCCCTATACTATACTGTAATATTAAAATCACTATTAGATATAGTCTAAGTTGGCAGGAAAAGAAAAGTTAGCATCATATTTTAATATCAAAAATGATATTATTCTAAGAACTATCTTTCTGTTGAATTTAGAATCTCAATATTTTGAAAAGAAAATGTAATTGCAAATTTATAGGTAATCATTTCCTAGCATCCTTCAACCAAAAATGGATTTACAATGATAACACAATTTTCACCAACATAGCAATCAATTCTTTCTCGATTTTTTACAGTTTAGTATATTATTATTGGACCAACTTGATATTTTAAATCATCCGAAACTGATTGATATTGTCTAGAATATTAAGTTAAGCTCTTCTTTTTTTAAAGATAAGAATTGATGTTGTATTTTAATTTATCAATGCTAGAGGAATAATTTGGATCTAAAACTTCTATATTACTAAGATGAAAGTCTTAAAACTCTATTTCATCTTATTGGTAATCAAAGCTTCTTGTAAGATAGTTCATTGTATCATTATTTGACCAAATCAATCCCTATGTATTGTCATTTTTGCTTTTAAACTAAAACAGAAAAAAGCCATATTTGGGATCACTTTTAATAGAAAAGTAATCATTAATCATTTAATCAATTTTAAAGTAGAATATTACTAAACTGACCTTGATCGATTGCTTTTAATCTTCCCACATGGTTGCTAATGGAATAGAAAAAATTATTTCGTGCCAAGTATTAATCTCTTGCTAAATCCTGTAATATAGAAACAAGTTGGGAGAAAGATCTTCAACTGAAATGCATTTAGATGATAAAATTGATTGGTACTGCCCGTATTGCTAATAAGTTTTTATGTTTAATTAAGATGAGAATTATAGGCTTAGTAGTCCAAATGATATATCATTTCCAATATAAGATTAGTCTTGTTCTATACATCCAATGATGTAACTTACGTCACTAACCGTTATGTCCCTCAAATACTACACACCTATGGTCATTAAATTGATTTGTAAAAGTTAATCGTACTTAAATGCAGCACTTTTTCTGAAGGAGTCAAATGAATTAAATATCCACTACTTAGATCATAAGGATAGCTTCCTTCGATCTCATAGACAATTAAGAAGTTATTCAAATTATCTTTAAACATTCTTCCTAAGAGATAAATCAAATTCGTACTATCCTATAAATGCATTGAATTGATAATGCTATTTGATTCTAACAATAATTTCTGTCTAAAATAATAGTTATAAATATTATAAAGTACTTTTTAATTTTTCCCAAGTTAGATTCAAATATTAGAATTTACATTCTTCCTTAATAATCTTAGCTACTTATGATTAATTCTTTGTCCTTATTAACTAAAATACTCTACTTTCTATGGTAAACAAGAACTGTATTAACAGAGATACTTCGATACACAGATCCGTCTGTATAGTATATCAAAGCATATACATAGAAATTTTCATTATAAGATTTGCTTTAATAAGATTGAGCTATCTGGATTGCAATATATTCATAATCATCTCTAAACAAATCATCAAATTAAATCATGAATAACTTACCTAACATATATTGACTGAACATCTTGAATATTTATATCAATGCTTTCATCTTAAAACCCATATTTATATAGCCATGCTAATCTTTAGAATCCTTACCGGACTATGTACATCCCTAAAATAGGTTAATTGCTTTTTCTTCCTCCAAATACTACTCTTTGATTTTCTTCTTGATATTTTAATGTATTTAAAAAGAAATTATCGCCTTCAAGATCTCCAAATAACAACGGTAGCTATTAAGAAGGAGATACACAATTATTTGAAAAATCAGCTTAGCACAGATTGCATAGCAATGAAGCTAGTAGAATTAGAAAAAGTCATTTTTTTATCCTTATCTTTAAGAGTATCTTCAATAGGTTTATCGACCTAAATATAGAAAAAGCCATTTTATAAGTTATAAGTGCTTAAATTAATGAATTATATATTTATAAATATAAATAAAGATTTATAAATAAATTAATTTTTACATTTATATCATTATTTTCATAATGCGGGGTTTTGGGGTTTTGGGG